AGACACCCTGAAACGCGTGAGCCTCAGCCGTCCGACCCGCGCATAAGCATTTTATAGGGATATCTTCATTATAAGGGGATGTAAATGGGATATCCGGATCCTAGTTGTTGCTTATGTGCTTTTTTGGGGCCCTAGTTACATCGGGAGCCTGCTGCCATGTTGAGGCCACCAGGTACACAGAGAGAGCGGCGCCTTTGATAGGGCTTAGAAGGCTTAGAAGCTTCAGGGGTTACCCTAAACCCTCAACCCTCAAGTTAGGGTTTAGGGGTTACCCTAAACCCTAAAGTTAGGGTTTAGGGGGTTACCCTGAACCCTAAACCCGAAAGTTAGGGTTGAGGCTAAGGGGTTGGGGATCGTCTACGGGGCTAAAAATCTACAGCTCAGTCTTGCAGCCGGAACCCCACGGTCTCTCGGTCCCAAAAGCCTCACAAGCCCTAAATCCAGCGATGGACTTGGGGGTCTTGAGCTATGGGACGAGAGCTTTGGGTCTATGGCCTTAGGCAATATGCCTGCAAGGACATGCAGGAGGGATTAAGATGAAGGGCTTCGACACCAAACCGTCACCCGAGACGTATGCTTTAGGCTTCGGGCTTTGGGAATCTGAAGAGTTCGAAGGATCTTGGAGCTGGGGGGGGGGGGGGGGGNNGGGGGCTCCTGTGACCAACCTTATACTCTGCTCGACCACGAAGCTGTAACTCGGGACAGTAAAGGGGCTGCAAGGCAGGAGGCAGGGGACCGAGTTTCAGGGGACTTGGGGCTTAGGGGTTTAGTGCTGAGATTTCGGGTTCTTTGGGCCTGGGGTCTTACGGCGTTTCGAAGTTACTGTTTCGGCTGTGAATTCGACTTTGGGCTCCGTCGGTTATTCCTTGGGGTTCGAGCGTTTATAATAGAAACTCACAAGTTCAACGTTTTGCTCCTGGCCCGTTGAATACTTTGTGTCTTTCTGGGGCGTTCTAGTGATTTAGTGTCAAGCTTTCAAGGCTTTCAGGGCATGCTGAAGCAGCTGCAGCCTTCATGGCTCGTAGTTGAGGTGCTCCCAACACGTTTAAAGCAGGCATTCGTCAAAATCAACACGGGACTCTCAACACTTTTAAAGTAGGCATTCGTCAAAATCAACACGGG